GGGGGGGGGGGTTTGGGGGAAAAGGAACCTTCTTGTGATTTTTTTTTGTGAATGAAAGGAAGAAAAAAAAGGACTTGGAAAGAGAGAGAGAGAGAGAGAGAGAGAGAAAAATGAGAGAGAGACTTTGTGAATGGGAAGATCCGACGGTGTGTAAACAGCTCAGATTGTGTGGATCAGATGTGTATATTTATGTCTATTCTGTTCTGTGTGTGTGTGAGTGTATATATATATATATATATATATATTTCTGTTGTTGTTTTCCAGCATTTTGAAAGTTGTTAGAAACTTTACATGGACTTCCTGCCTTCCCAGATTGGCATCTAAACCATCTGTTGAGAGACTGACTTTATCCTGAAATCTTACCCCCACTCTCTCCCCGACCAACACACTCAGTCCTTTCTACTCGCAGTTTCCAACAAATCCGTTCATCAACATAGATTTTTGTCAGTAGACAATATTAACCTGTTATTGTTGTTGTTGTGTGTGTGTGTGGGGGGGGGGGGGGGGGTGGGGGGGGGGGTGGGGGGGAGGGAGTGGGGGGTTGTTTTAAATGGACCTTAAACTCCCCTCCTCACAAGGCAGTGGGTGTCATTGAAGTTTCTTCCACTTTATAGCAATCGTTTGGCCAACGTCAATGATTTGGTTAAGTGCTTATGGCACTGCTTATGGTTATGATGATGATTATTATTATTATTATTATTATTATTGGAGCTAACCTCACCCCCTCTGCCTGTAAACATCAGTCTCAGTGGGTCATCTCACCTCTGCACATCATCCACCACTTTCAGCCTTACTCTCACTCTCTCTCCCTCTCTCTCTCTCTCTCTATCTCTCCCCCCCCCCACCCCGACTTTCCTCTTTGCTTTGACCCCCATTTCCATCTGTTCCCATTTCTCTGCCAGTCCCAGTCTCAGTGAATATAACCCCCCACCACCCCCACCCCAACCCTCTCCTCTCCCCCTGACACCAGAAACCCATCACACCTTGGTTTACTTACCCCCCAATACAAAGAGAGAGAGAGAGAGAGAGATGAAAAAATAAGGAGGGCGATTGCCTTGTAAATTCTGTCTCTTTTCTGGTTTAAGTGGATTGAAATCTGTGTATTTATTTATCGATCGATTGATTGATTGATTGATTGATTTATCTATTTATTTTATTTATTTTATTTGTTCGTTTATGAATTAACTGATGAGTAAAACCAGGAGTGGTCGGAATTTTGTAGCTTGAATAAAATAGGCATTGTTTTTTTTTATTAAAAAAACCCAAATAAATAATAAATACATCTCACTCTGGATAAGGTGCAGGAGATGAGGTGACAGACACACTGAGACTGGGGTTCACAGGGAGGAGGTAAGGTTAGATTGAAGACGAACTAACTTAACTTCACCCCTAAATTAAAAGCCTTTTTCTTAAGACACGTTTTTTTTTTCTTTTTCTGCCAAACCTGATATGGGGTTTGCACCTGAACTTTGGCTGTTGCTGTCATTTCCTCTCGTCTCTGCTCCCACAAGCTGTTGGGAATGAACAGCTTCAACAGGTAAATCCCAACAGTTCAACAGTTGACTCTAAAATATCCCAAGATCAGGCAAAATGGCAAAGGGACATCAGATTTTTTTTTACATCCATGTGCACACCCACATTTCAGGACCAGGCAACTCTGTTCCATCCCTTACGTGTCCGAGTTAAGAGTCATCTCATGATTACCAGAGACTAAGAGGGGGAAAAAAAAGCAGCACTCTCTTTATTAGTAAAGTTTGATGCCCTTTCTTTTGAATTGGAATTTGATTTCACTCAGAACAGTGATTCGAACCAAATGGCAAAAGGGTTCTTCCTCCAATTGTCCCCTTTTTTCCACCACGAGTGTATCTCTCTGCTCCCTGGTCTGTCTCAGAGGCTCCTTTCACCCATTGGGGTGTGTTTCTCATCGTTACCTGTAACTTTGAAGCTTGAGATGTCCAACAGGGATATGGTGAAATACTCATCCTCTTTCCTTTTTATCTGGCCAGAGACATGGCCAATAAATATAAATATCAGTGTCTCTGTGTCGAAGATGCACACCATGTACATCTTCAACCGAACAACGTGAGGAAAAGCTTTGATGGGAATAATAATTGCAAAAAAAAAACCACCTCTCTAAGTTGTCGATTCACTTTACAGTGTATTCCGCGCAGCGCTTTGAGACGTCTCAAAGACGTGACAAGGCGCTATATCAAATGCAAGGGTTATTATTATTATTATTATATTATTATTATTATTAGGTTTGTCAGAAGGGAACATCAATGAGGATGTGAATCTCTGAATGATTTATTTCCCTCTTTTCCTGCTTTTAGTAACAAACAGTAGAGTAAACAAACAGTGTTGAAGTTCTGGGCTAGTTTTTTTTTTGGGGGGGGGTGGGGGGGTGGAGAGAGAGAGAGGGGGAGAGAGAGAGAGAGAATTCACTTCGATATTCCCTTCAGAAAAAAATGACCTGTAAAAACCACAGATCCTGATTTGTGTGTGTGAAACACTTTCATTGGCAAAAATGTCACCAATTTTAATCTCAGACCTCTGGTCTCTGATAACAGTGCAATGTAATAATGTAAGTTCACTAACAACTGTACCAAATTGTTAATAAGGTTCAGACTTCAGCAGCTCTATAGCTCTATAGAACATAGTCGATATCACAACTCCACATTTGCTTTCTACACGATATTACACATGAATCACAGCGAATGCCCATTCACACACCGAACCACACTGAGCAAAATAGAGGCACTGTTTATTATACAATAGTAAAAAGACCACTTAACCTCGATGCGTTTGCAAAAAAAAAGTTGATGCATTTATTTTTTTATTTGTAATTAGCAATTTTTGGAAAAAAAGTTGTGACACAAACGTACGAATCAATTCGAAACTTTTACCTTCCCTTCCTCCCCCCCCCCCCCCTCCATCCCATCCCATCCCAACCCATCCCATCCCATCCCATCCCCTCCCTTTCTCCTTCCACAACATTGCAAGCGATTTAACACAGAGATGGCAATAAACTTTTCAGTCTGGGATTAGTTCAGATGAGTTAGAGTTAGGGCAGAGGTGAGATTTTGTTGGGGGTGGGATGGGATGGGATGGGATGGGATGGGGAGGGGAGGGGGGGAATGTAAATATTTTATTCAAGCTAATATTCTGACCACTCTAGCTTTGATGATTAATTAACAAATAAATACATTATTTATTTATTAACAAATTAAAAACTTCAAACCACTTAACCAGAATACAGACAGAGTTACAAGCCAACTATTGCTATCGATGACTATTACTTTTTTTTTCGTCCTTTCTTGTATGGGGGTGGGGGTAAGTCGAGGTTTGATGGGTTTTCTGATATCAATAATTCTAATAATAATAATAATAAAGGTTGTTTGACATTTCTTTTTGTTCTGTGTTTCTCGTTTCCTTGTTTAACAATGACACTCTGTTTAACAAGAATCTCGTTTGCAAACACACTGTAGTGTAACAAGACAAAAAAAATCACTGCTTTCAATTTCTTTCTTTATTTATTTCTTTCTTTATTTATTTATTTCAACTCCCCCCCCTCCCCTCCCCCCCCCCCCCCCCCCACCCCCCACACTCACCCCCAACCCCTTCTTCCCTTAGTGGTACAGCAAATAAAATTGCTGAAGGAAAAAAAAACGAACACATACAATTTGGGGACGGATTGGGGGTTTGGGAAGCCACAAAAACAATCTTTTATATATATATATATATATACATATATATATATAAAGTAGAGAGCAAAAAAAAATCTCACAACATTTCTGTTCCAAACAAACTCCAGCATATAAAGTAAAAGTAAGGCTACTTAAACCACAGAAAAATGAACTCGTAAACAATGCATTTCTTACAAAGCAACACACACAATAAAAGCTGACCTACTTGCAATCTCTAAAGGGAAGGATAAATTAATAATCCCGAACTATATGACAGTCATGGAAACAAGCGATAGACTAGACTGGTGTTGTGGGAAACACATCCAATCTAATCTGTGAGACAATTTATCTTCTTGCTTTGCAAACTTTGCAAAGCAGAGATCACACCAGTCTCCTCCTATTCTCTAATTTCTAAAAAAAAAAATATTTTAAAACACAGCAAATGTTTTATAAATACTCTATAATTCCACTTAATTTTTTTTTCCTGCAAATGTGCACAGCACTGCGTTGGGTTTAAATGACCGATCGTCCCTTCCATCGGATTGTTTTTTTTTCTCTCTCTCTCTCTCTCTCTCTCTCCATAGATACAGTACTCACAAAGCTTTGAAACAACACGAAACAATTAAATTGCTTTTTTTTTAACAGGTCTGACTAATAATGTTATACATTTTTTTTTCTATTTATGTACAGAAAGGTAGGTCACCAACCACATTAAATATATAGATCATCGAGTTTACTTGCCAACCATTCTTGGAGGACATCTGAATTTTTTGTGATACATGAAATAAGAGAGATTATACCACTGTCAAAGGCCTTCACTCACTCTTTCCTCTCTTCCCCCTCCAAATAAGATCCGCAAACTTTCCCTCTGGCAAAATACACACAGCCCCCCCCCCCCAAAAAAAAAAAAAACTTCGTAAACTGTTCGTAATGTGCATTTATTATAAAATAATACAAAAAAAAGTTATATAATTTTGGTTTTGGTTTAAAAATAACAAGGATTAAACCCCCCCCACCCCCAACCCCTCCTCCCCCCAAAAAAAAACTCTCCAGAAATAAAGTTCAAATATAAACAAAAATAATCTTTCGTGTCCCCCCCCCCACAACCCCCCAAAAAAACCATCTGTATTAATAATATCTCCTGATCAGAGTTTTATTTTTTTTCATCTGTGACAATATTGTGGCTTTATTATTTTTTTCCAGTCCCGACACAACGACATACATACGGTGATGAGGATCTTTTTGTGTTTTTACCCCAAAAAAAACATGCAAATAAATAAAAAAAAGATGCATAGAGAGAGAGAGAGAAGGGGGGGAGAGGGAGGGGGAGGTTAACGTTGTCATAAACTCCGGGTTTAGGGTTTAAAGTCTCTTCCAAATAGCGCCCAACCTGAGGTTTAAGTGCTCTTCATTTTCGTCTAATAACAAAAATATTCCTCAAGAACCAACCGTTGCAGAGAGAGGGAGAGAGAGAGAGAGATCCCCAGGTACAATTTATACGAATGTCTCCTGAAAAGTCAAAGGGAGAAAATTGTGTTTAAGCAAAAAAAACTTATATATACATATATAGAGAGAGAGAGAGAGAGAGAGAGAGGAGGGAGGGAGAGAGAGAGAGAGAGAGAGAGAGCTGGGGCACAATAAAAATATTGTAGGAAATATTGTAAAGTCAATCACAGAATGAGCAACAGGTTAATTAATCTGTGGCTCTCTGTGAGCCGTGTGTGCTGTGTTAACAGTGTTAAAGTAGAGAGAGAGAGAGACACACACACAGGACTGACACAGAGAAATAATGTCATCTGCTTTTCTTTAGTCCTATCCATTGCAAAAACACATAGAGAGAGACACAGAGAGAGAGAGAGACACAGACACACAAAGAGAGAGAGAGAGACACAGACACCCACAAAGAGAGAGAGACACAGACACACAGAGAGAAACACACAGAGAGAGACAGACACAGAGAGAGAGAGAGACACAGACACAGAGAGAGAGACACAGACACACACAGAGAGAGACACAGACACACACAGAGAGAGACACAGACACACAGAGAAATTCGACTACAAATCGACCAAAGATCAGTGTGGGTTAAACTCGAGAGTTTGTAGATTTGATGTTTCGTGTGGGGCTGATTTTATTTTATTTTATTTGCCCCATAACCCCCCCCCCCTCCCCCCTCCCCCTCCATCCCCCCCAAAAAAGGTGATGAATAAAATCAATTTGGTGTGATCTGAGTGTGAAGCTTTAACGAATATTTCCCTGACCGATGTGTGTCTGTGTCTGTGTGTGTGTGTGTGTGTGTCTGTGTGTGTGGGGTGTGTGTGGGGTGGGGGGGGGGGGGGGGGGGGGGAGGGTGGGGGTAGTTTAAGATGCCCTTTAAAGTGTTGTAGCTGTTGGGAGGAACATTTGGTACCGTTTGGAGGAGGAGGTGAAAGGTGCCGCGAAGGAATAGTTGAAATTTCTCTCATTACTGTTAAGTGTTTGTTTGAACTCTTTTTTTTCCCCTTTTCTCTCTCCACCACAGGGTCACAGGCAATAAATATTCCCCAACAAGACGAGGGGTGAGGGGGGGGGAGACTAACTACAGTACTTGTGAGCTTTTACAACTTGCAAGTAAGTGTGTGTTTGACTGATCAAACATTTTATCATTCAAAACCTTTTGATTATATATATATAATATATATCTCATGCTCCCCCACAAGCAATCAAATGTACAAACATATTTATATCATTGCATCATGTTATATCTATACATATATATAAAATGTGTCTGTGCAGACCAAGTTTGTGCAGAGTGGGAAGAGGGGAAAGGGGAAAGAGAGAGAGAAAGAGAGAGAGAGAGAGAGAGAGAGAGAGGGGGGGAAATAAGGTGTTTAAGGTAACAAAATAGTGGTGAGGGATTTAGAGACAGAGGACATGTTATTGTCAGGACTATTTAAAAGGAGGAAACTGCAGAGATTTATATTTAGCAAAGTTTAGCATAAACTCCAGGAAACAAGAGAAACAGCTGAAAAAAAAAGCCTCATCTCATCTCATCTCATCTCATCTCATCTCATCTCATCTGGTAACGTTTAGGATCGAGGTTAAAGGTTCCCGAAGAGATAGGCTTTATAGTTCTGTCAATGAGGTTTTGTTTATCTTTCTTTTTTTCCTTTTTCTTTCTTTCCATCTGTGTCTCTCTCTCTCTTCTGTGTATGTGTCTATTTTATCTCTGTAGCTATTTTTATCCATCTATCTATCTATCTATCTATCTATCTATCTATCTATCTATCTATCTATCTATCTATCTATCTATCTATCTATCTATCTATCTATCTATCTATCTATCTATCTATCTATCTATCTATCTATCTATCTATCTATCTATCTATCTATCTATCTATCTATCTATCTATCTATCTATCTATCTATCTATCCATCTCTCTCTCTCTCTCTCTCTCTATCTCTTTATCTCTCTATCTCTCTCTCGCTGTCTATGTATCTCTCTTTAAGTCAGTCTCTCTGTCTGTCGTCTATCTGTCTGTCTGTCTATCTATATGTCTGTCTATGTCTGTCTGTCTGTCTGTCTATCTATATGTCTGTCTATCTATCTATATATCTGTCTGTCTATCTGTCTGTCTGTCTATCTGTCTGTCTGTCTGTCTGTCTGTCTGTCTGTCTGTCTGTCTGTCTGTCCGTCTATCTTTCTACCCACTCACAAGTGCAATAAACACACGAGAGAACAGTGGAAACACACAGAGCGACGTTCAATGTCCTGATTACCGGGAGTGGTGGGGTGTGGAGTGGTGGTGGGAGAGGGGTTGGTGGTGGGGAGGAGATGCTAAGGTCCAGCAGACAGTGGCCACGACTCCTCCATTCTCCAGACAGAAAAAGCGTAACTGAGTCTCTCGTGGGACAGGTAACTGCAACTGGTGACCTTACTGTCCATCTCGTCGTTCTGGAGCACTTGGTAGAGGAAGTCGATGTACCTTGTGGCCAGTTTGAGGATCTGGATCTTGCTCAGTTTGTCAGAGGGCAGAGTGGGGATGATCTTCCGCAGAGTGGCGAAGGCATCATTCAGAGACTGTGTCCTTTGCCTCTCCCTCACGTTGGCCACCACTCTCTGGCTCTGGATGTCTTCCAGGCTCTGGGCCAGTGGAGAGATCTTCATCCCTTTCTTCCCAGAGCTCGGCCTCTGGGATCTCTGTCCCGAACGCCTTTTCCTACCATTCCTCTTCTCCTGGGGGTCTTGGTCTTGTTCCCCTTCGCTGTTGCTGGAACTGTCCACGGGAGAGAATGGGGAGTTGGAGTCCTCTTGCATAGTGCTGTCTCAGAACAACAAGGGGGTGGTTTCAAGTCAAGGAATCCTTTATCAGCGACAGAAGTGTGTGTGTGTGTGTGTGTAAAAAAAAGGAGGGGAGGGAGGGAGGAGAGAGAGGGAGGGAGAGAGAGAGAGGGAGGGAGGGAGAGAGAGAGACACACACACACAGAGAGAGTGAGTGAGTGAGTGAGTGAATGAGAGAGAGAGAGAGAAGAGAGAGGGAGGGAGGGAGGAAGGGGGGAAAAAAGTTTCCTCCACACCCCCTTCTCCCCACCACCAACTTTTTTCCCCCCCAAAAAAAGTTTTTTTTGAACGATTTGATGAAAATAAACCCCCCTCCCACCCCCCACCCCCCCCCCCAAAAAAAAAACTCACAGATGCTTCTCAGCCACTTAATGTTGCTCCCACTGATCCTTAATTCCTCTTTGGATCTTTTTAACTGTTTACTTGTGCTTGGTATGAGCTTTCTAGATTCGAGTCAAGGGTCCAATATCCACCCCCCACCCCCCCACTCCCACCCCCTCCCCACATCCCCACTCCCCCATCCCCACCCCCCAAAAAAAAAATCCTGACAAGCGATTGGGTCTGATTTTCTGTGATGAGTGGGAGGGTTTTTTTTTGTGTGTTGCTGGCAGGATTCAGTGTAGAAAACACCCATGGACATCTGTATAAAATCAGCCAACACATCAACTCCCCATTTTTTTTTGCCAAGGGAGGGAGGGAGGGAGGGAGAAAGAAAGAAAGGGAGGGGAGAATGAGAGAGACACAGAGAAAGAGAGAGAGAGAGAGAGAGAAATAGAATTGATCTTAAAGGATATTTTTTTTTTGGTGGGATCCTGTGTAGAATGCAATCGGTTGGGAAATGGATGCAAAAAAAAACCCCCAACTCAGTTGGGACAGTTTTGACTGAGTGAGTGAGTGAGTGGAGTGAGTGGAGTGAGTGAGTGAGTGGAGTGAGTGGAGTGAGTGAGTGGAGTGAGTGAGTGAGTGAGTGGAGTGAGTGAGTGAGTGAGTGAGTGAACGATGGTCAAGTCGGAGTTTGGGTGACAAAACAAATCGAGGAATTGGAGAGTGAGAGAGAGAGAGAGAGAGAGAATATATATATAATATGTGTGTGTGTGTGTGTGTGTTTAAGGCTGCAAATGAAATGTATGCGTTGTGTGTATATCTCTGTGTGTATGTGTGTCTACGTGTGTGTGTGTGTGTGTGTGTATGTGGTTAGTTTAACTCTGCAAATGAATATATATCTGTGTTTGTGTATGTGTGTGTATCTGTGTGTGTATCTGTTTGTGTTTAAGTGTATGTCTGTGTGTATGTATGTGTATGTATCTGTATGTGTGTGTAAGTATCTGCGTGTGAGTGTATCTCTGTGTGTATGTGTGTATGTGTATCTGAGTCTGTGTGTATGTGTGTATCTCTGTGTATTTCTGTGTGCGTATCTTGTGTGTATCTGTGTGTGTATCTGTGTGTGTGTATCTGTGGTTATTTGTGTGTGTGTGTATCTGTGTATTTGTCTGTGTGTATTTGCGTGTGTGTATCTGTGTGTGTATGTGTGTGTGTGTATATTTGTGTGTGTGTATCTGTGTGTTTTCTCTTTTTCTCTCGTTTTCTCTTTGACCGAGCCTTCAGCTCCCCTCTCGACTCTCTTCCCCCTCCTCGCTCCCTCCCTTCCCTCCCCTCACCCTGACCATTTCCCCCCTCCTCGCCCCCTCCCTCCCCTCCCCTCACCCTGACCATTTCCCCCCTCCTCGCCCCCTCCCTCCCCTCCCCTCACCATTTCCCCCCTCCTCGCTCCCTCCCTTCCTCCCTCACCCTGACCATTTCCCCCCTCCTCGCTCCCTCCCTTCCCTCCCCTCACCCTGACCATTTCCCCCCTCCTCGCCCCTCCCTCCCCTCCCCTCACCATTTCCCCCCTCCTCGCCCCTCCCTTCCCTCCCCTCACCCTGACCATTTCCCCCCTCCTCGCCCCCTCCCTCCCCTCCCCTCACCATTTCCCCCCCTCGCCCCCTCCCTTCCCTCCCCTCACCCTGACCATTTCCCCCCTCCTCGCCCCCTCCCTCCCCTCCCTCACCCTGACCATTTCCCCACTGCTCGGGTCATGACCCAACTGTGCAGCGCCTCGGGACGTCCTCCTGACGTGAAAGGCGCTTTATAAATGGAATCTTATTGTTGTTGTTGTTGTTTGTGTATGTATCTGTGTGTATTTGCGTGTGTGTATGTGTGTGTGTGTGTATATTTGTGTGTGTGTATCTGTGTGTTTGTGTGTGTGTGTGTATCTGTATGTATTTGTGGGTGTGTGTGTATCTGTGTGAGTTGTATTTGTGTGTGTGTATCTATGTATTTGTGGGTGTGTGTGTATCTGTGTGTATTTGTGTGTGTGTGTGTGTGTATCTTTCTGTGTGTGTGTATTTGTGTGTGTGTGTGTATTTGTGTGTGTGTGTCTGTGTGTATGTGTATGTGTGTGCATCTCTGTGTGTGTGTATCTGTGTGTATTTGTGTGTGTGTATATCTGTGTGTATTTGTGTGTGTGTATCTGTGTGTATGTGTGTGTGTGCATCTGTGTGTGTGTGTATCTGTGTGTATTTGTGTGTGTGTATCTGTGTGTATCTGTGTGTATGTGTGTGTGGGTGTGACTATGTGTTGTGAAATGGAGTTGGAATACACTAAGAAAAGGGAAAAGACTACGGTTATACAGAGGGATGTGATGTTTGCAGTGACTGTGTGGTGTTTTCTGCCTCTTCACAGGACAGCACTCCCACATCTACATGTGCTGTAAGATTCTTCCAGCGCTAGTGATGCGAAAGGCGCACGTTACGGTGACCGAATGGGGCGGGCGAAGCTTAAAACAGAGGGTTTGTAAGAAAATGCGGATTATATTTTATTTTATTCGCTGGTTTCGATACAGATCAGTGCAAATTTTGATGCATTTTCACTTTTTCCTCCTCCCTCACCCCTCTCTCTCTCTCTCTCTCTCTCTCTCCTCTCTCCCCCTTTTCTTTGCAAAGTGCAACTTTTTGGGGGTTGGGGTGGAGAGAGAAATGAGCTATTTTCCCCGGGAGCAACACGTTGCGAAAGCGAAGCGAACTCGCCCTCTCTCGGCACCGCTTGTTAGCACGCGCTTTAGCGAATCCCAAACACGTTTGGAAAAGAAACGGAATTGGGATTATTTTAATTTGTTAAATTATATATATATATATGTGTGTGTGTGTATTTTTTTTTAAAAAAGCGATAGGATTCATCCCAGCGATGAAACAGAGCAAAGTTCCCAGTTGTTGGAAGCCTGGCGTGAGATAGTTGGATCAAGAGATGGTGAAGATATGGGTAGAGAGATGGTGGTGGAGAGATGGAGAGAGAGATGGTGGTGGAGAGATGGAGAGAGAGATGGTGGTGGAGAGAAAGATGGTGGTGGAGAGATGGAGAGAGAGATGGTGGTGGAGAGATGGAGAGAGAAAGATAGTGGTGGAGAGATGGAGAGAGAGAGATGGTGGTGGAGAGATGGAGAGAAAGATGGTGGTGGAGAGATGGAGAGAGAGATGGTGGTGGAGAGAGATGGTGGTGGAGAGATGGAGAGAGAGATGGTGGTGGAGAGATGGAGAGAGAGAGATGGTGGTGGAGAGATGGAGAGAGAGATGGTGGTGGAGAGAAAGATGGTGGTGGAGAGATGGAGAGAGAGAGATGGTGGTGGAGAGATGGAGAGAGAGATGGTGGTGGAGAGATGGAGAGAGAGAGATGGTGGTGGTGGAGAGAAAGATGGTGGTGGAGAGATGGAGAGAGAGAGATGGTGGTGGAGAGATGGAGAGAGAGATGGTGGTGGAGAGATGGAGAGAGAGAGATGGTGGTGGAGAGATGGAGAGAGAGATGGTGGTGGAGAGATGGAGAGAAAGATGGTGGTGGAGAGATGGAGAGAGAGATGGTGGTGGAGAGATGGAGAGAGAGATGGTGGTGGAGAGATGGAGAGAAAGATGGTGGTGGAGAGATGGAGAGAGAGAGAGATGGTGGTGGAGAGTTGGAGAGAGAGATGATGGTGGAGAGATGGAGAGAGAGAGATGGTGGTGGAGAGATGGAGAGAGAAATGGTGGTGGAGAGATGGAGAGAAAGAGATGGTGGTGGAGAGATGGTGGTGGAGAGATGGAGAGAGAGAGATGTTGGTGGAGAGATGGGGAGAGAGAGAGATGGTGGTGGAGAGATGGAGAGAAAGAGATGGTGGTGGAGAGATGGTGGTGGAGAGATGGAGAGAAAGAGATGGTGGTGGAGAGATGGAGAGAAAGAGATGGTGGTGGAGAGATGGAGAGAGAGATGGTGGTGGAGAGATGGAGAGAGAGAGAGATGGAGAGACAGAGAGATGGTGGTGGAGAGATGGAGAGAGAGATGGTTGAATGGATCATGTTCTCTGCTCTTCAGCTCAGTTGCAGTGACATTGGCGAATGAAAGGAACTTTAAGGAGTCACGAAAGAGCCAGATAAACGCGGCCACTGTTTTATTTTGTGTGGAAACGGAGGGAGGGAGGGAGGGAGGGAAATGCTTTTAAATTGGAATGAACCGTTGTCCTTCGTGTCCCTCCCGATCAAATCTTTGATGGTTGGAAAAGTGCCTGACATTGTTTGATGTGGGACGTTACTCCTTCGAGGGAGGTTTGATTCTTTTTTTGAGCGAATTCAAGGCAAAGCCAAAGCAAAGGAGGAATGTGGTGTTTTTTTTTTAGTAAACAGTCACAAACAGAGCTTTGCTTATTGCTGTTCTGTCTCTGTTTGGGGTGTGAGCCCCGCCGCCTAGCGGCCACTCTAGGTAAGTGGTGGGGTTTAAGTTGCCTCTGGGAGCCAGGTGATGTGAGGCTGGGGGGGGGTTGATCAGCCTTGCATTCTGTTCCCCATTCCCCCCCCCCCCCCCCCCCCGCCCCCACTCCGCCGCCCCCAATCCACTCAATCCACGACTGTTTGTGGGGGACGCTGCCGTGCGCAATTGGCCGCCACGTTTCACCCACAAAATATACAGTCAATTCACTTTACAGTCTATTCTGTGAAGCGCTTTGAGACGTCTCGAAGACATGATAAGCCGCTATATCAAATGCGAGAATTATTTATTATTATCAATATGGTGTGCAAACAGCTACCGTTATAGCCACTGAGCTACAGGACTCCACAATTTTCTGCGCGAAAAAATGGAACAATGCAATGTCCTTGTCCCTCGATCTCTCTGCGGTCTGTGTCCCAGCTTGAAGTGTGTTTAAAGTTCATTTCAACAGTGGCCAGATTTAACCTTCAGAACTTCCACTTTGTTTCTGTTTGTGTGACGTGCAAATTGGCTGCCACGTTCGCCCTCAAAACATACACTCAATTCGCTTTACAGTGTATTCCGTGAAGCGCTTTGAGACGTGATAAGGCGCTATATCAAATGCAAGGATTATTATTATTATTATTACTTTATGGTAAATCCTGTGGAGTGCTTTGAGACGTGAAAGATGTTGTACTGTATTGAACATAAGGATTATTATCTAAACAAATTCCGTTTGATGACTGTCAGTCGGTCGGGACAACCGCGGATAAGTCCCTCCTCTTTTGAAGTCGCTTTAGGGATCTCTAACCTCCTCCTGAACAGGCAGTTGGGGGACTCAGTTTAACGTGGGTGAAACGTGGCAGCCGAACAGCAACATCCTACAGACAGCCATGAGATGATTGACCGACCGATTTTACTTGGGAGGGGGCCCCGCTCGGAGGAGGTTGTTGGTCAGGGCACTGGGAGAAACCGGTGGATTGCGGTAATAAAATCTCGCGGAATGTTTCCGTCACAGCGTTTCAGTGCAGATGTTAGTGCGTAAGTAGCCTTGCGAGTTGTTGGAACTGTTCGCAGGGCTAATTGTTTCCAGGAGAAACAATTGCAACACCTCCTGTTTGGGTGTTGACTCACCCCCCCCACCCACCCCACCCACTCACCGTTTTTCCTACAATGGGAATATTTCCCACGTACTGCATTTCGTAAACCAAATCCAGGAACACGTTTAAAAACCAAACAAATCGAACTCGCCACAATTCCCGATGGCGGCAGCTGCCGGAGCGGCTTGTGGGATTAACGGCTGTGTTTATTTCACTGACGAGTGTATCTGTTTTAGGATAAGCTCTCCGGGACCCTACCCTGCATGAAAGGCGCTATATAAATGCAAATTGCTGTTGTTGTTGTTGCTCAGTTTGTCGCTGAAATCAAGACGGGGCAAATTTGACCCCAGGGGCACAACGCCTCATCCAGGGAGTCGGACACATATTGCTATTAGTTCAATACATATCTCTTTTATTTTAACCAATCGAACATCATTTCAGAACATTTATTTGCCGGTGGAGCATTGACTCAATGCACAGATGATCAGGTCTTTTCCCACCTGCCCACCCTCCGTGGTATGGATGTCCTGTTGTGTTGATCTCGACAGTCTCTTAACCTCGATAGGTGTCAAACAGCCTAATATGTCGTTGCCCTCACCTAAAGATCACATGGATTTTCAATTGAGGGAGGGAGACAGGGAGAGAGGTAGTGACTCGGGAGTGGAAATGAGGGGGAGGAGGAGGAGGAGGGTATTGAGATAAATTTTGGGAATTGCGTAATTCTGTGTCATTCACAATGGGACCCAACTCACTAACTCACCCAGACCCAGACCAGCTCATTGCGAGCTTCATGGTTTATTATCCTGTAGCGTGTTGGTTAGAGCACTCGCCTCGTAAGCGAGAGGACCCGGGTTCGATTCCCGGGCAGGGCGTGGCGAAACGTAGGCCAGTTTCCTTACTCCTCACGCCTCTGTTTACCCAGCAGTAAGTAGGAACCCGGTCGTTAATCGATTGGCGGATCGCTTTTCCGGGGATAATAATTCCGTCAAAAAAAAATAATAATTTGGTCACTCAATCCACGTCTGTTTGTGGGACACTGCTGTGCGCGATTGGCTCCCACTCTTCACCCGGAAAATATACAGTCAATTCACTTTACAGTGTATGTATGAAGCGCTTTGAGACGTCTCGAAGACGTGATGAGGCGCTGTTACAAATACAAGGATTATGATTACATTATAGCACTCCAAGTGGCGACTTTTACTATGTGAATATGTGGATATTTGTTGCGCAAAAGCCAATTAAATGTTTTTGTACTTAGGAGCGAGAGAGGGATCCAGCACTTATTTAAGTGAAATCATATGTCGATCAGGAATGTTCAAGGCATTAAGTGACTCCCACTCTCATTACATGCTGGGATCCCAGGCAAGGACGTTTAATCAAAGTCTAGGGAATATGATTTGGATTTGTTTATTGTGTTACTTTTAATTTTGCCCCCTCACTGTGCCACGTACAAGTCACTGGCCAAGAAGACATGCCCCCAAGCCTCCGACTACTACTGAGCTGCGTTTTATAATCCCTTAATCTTACAGTGTGTATGCCAGACACGAACCACAGGGAGCACGTCAACCAACTGTGTTGCCCACAGCACCTGCTCGTGGGAAAACACAAGAGGAAAGTGAAGCGGCCCCACAAATAACTCAGTCCTTGCTCGTCATTTCCAAGGCTTTGCTTGCAAGTCGAGTCTCGAAACTCTGGGACGCTCTCCCTCAATCCCCCTCTCTCTCTCCCCCCCCACTTTTTTTCAAGTTCCCGCCTCAAAAAATCTTCCTTTTCGACCATGCTTTTGGTCACCTCTCTCCCACTGTCCTGGCTAACGTACCCTCAAATAAAATTGCTTATTCACTCCATGGGCTACTTGTGAGATGTTGTGGTGTGCAAATTGGCTGAGCATTCACCCACAAATACACAGTCAAATCCTGGGACGTCCTCCCGAATGCAAGGATTATTATTATTACTAATTCTACAATACAAAACCCAGAGAGGCCTTTCGATTGTGCAATAGTTTATTACTTCCTCCCGTCGATTTTCCGGGGAAATCTAATGTATCTAATGTACAGTGCCTCTCCTTGAACCCTGAGGATTAAAGCCATGTAAAAACCGTCTCTTTCGATGTTGATTGGGGTGTGGAAAATGTGTTTCAAAGTCAGCTGCGGGGACTTTTGATTCCGTCCCTGGCATGTTCCCAAAATGCCGCCTGGTTATATTATGCTCGAGTCTCCACAGAGCAATTTCTGCGCTTTGATTCGTGTCCAGCCTGTTTTCCAACATGTTATACTTATAACATTTATAAGGGCTCGAATATAAAATAGCCACTGGCACGTTCCAGGGGAAGCAACCGTTTCACGTGCAGGGTGGTTAGACTCCAGCAGACTCTGGGGTTCCCCCCAAGCCTTGGCTCCTGCCAACCTGCCTAATACTTTCCGGAATTAGGTAAGCACAATGCGTCCTTCCAGGGGGAGAGAGAGAGAGAGAGAGAGAGAGGGGGGGAGAGAGAGCGAATTCCAATCCAATAATATATCTGTGGAATTTCCATGCGTAGGTGGGATTCATGGAATTCTCAGCTTGGTTTGGACACTCTTCAGGATGATGCTGGGAACGATGATGACGGCTCACCAAAAAAAAACAGGGCGGTGAGAGGGTGGAACACACGGCAGGAAACTGTGGTTGAAGCAAAAACCGTCGCTGAATTTAAGTGAAAACTTAAACCTGTGAGGCCTTTTTTGTGGGGGGGGGGGGGATTTAAACAATTAAGAAATTCGTTAAAAAAAAATTCTGCAACTCAGCCTGAACTCTCTTAGGAAGAATTAAGACCAGATTGAAGACTTTCCCACAGTTCATTGTAGGTTTTGAGATGCAACGGCCTCACAGAGTTAAGAACAGTGTTAAGTTGGAGCTGCTCATGTCCTAATATGCTCCTGTTTTGTAGCAAAATAAATCTCCCAACCACTCTCCTTTGCTGATTTGCTCATACAGTATTCCGCTAACGTTGTGCTTGACGATAGATAGATCTCCACGTGGGGTGACCATCAAAAAATAATGTGCTGGAGTGGACTGAGATGTGGTGAGAGTGTTTCAGCGTCTTGGGAAGTCCTCTCGATGTAGGCGCTATATACCAATGTAATTTTTTTGTTTGGTCTACTGTTTCTTCTTAGTCGCCTGGTTTCCGGCAAGGGATCGCATGAGCCAAGGGATGACAGCCATCACGGTGAAGGGACCCAGTGCGTTCTTCAGGTAGCTCACGGCGTAAAAGAGGAGTTTGGAGTGTGTGGGCCCCGGGACCTGATCCAGGACTCTGAGGAGGAACAGAGCGAGGGCTGAGCTGGCGGCTTTCACCCCCCAGCTCTGTCTCTCCTCCTGTGCGCTGGATAACAACGACGAGCCCAGCCCCAGCCCCAGCGCTGCCCCCGCATCCCTGCTCAGCGATGTGAAAGGTGCAGTGTCCAGCCGGATCCAGTCAGGTCGGGCACACCACTTGGTGGCCAGGACGATTGACCTGGAACAACAAGCCACGTTAGATTATTCATAATAATTAATAATCATAATAACAATCCTTGCATTTGACACAGCGCCTCATCAAGTCCCCGAGACGCCTCAAGGCGTTATACATTTTTAATACGGGAAAATAATATTTCAGCTAAACAAATTAATGTTGAATATTAATTATATATCATAAACAGTACACTCCTTATAACTCAACCCTGGCTTAACGTTGTCTTCTGTCGATATCTCGGCCGCATTTATTTATGTATTTATACATTTATATTTGTATACTCTATGGATGATGAGTTATCAGGTCTTTCCTGTAGTTATAAATATGAATTATATAATACTGTATTATAATAATAATCCTTGAATTTGGTATAGTGCCTCATCACGTCTTTGAGACGGCACAAAAATTAATTATACAATTAATATTAGCACCTTCAGGTCCCTTCATGCCCTAGAACCTCCCTATCTCTCTGATCTTACCCCACTGCCCTACCCACTCCCCCTCATTCCCAGCCCCCGACCCACCCTACACACACACCCTCTGCAAGAGAACGGACAGCTAAACGGGGCAAGGAAAGATTGAAACAAGGGACAATTCCTTCCCAAGACAAGGTAAGAGGCGTCGAAAAATATAATGTATAATAATAATCTTTGCATTTGATATAGCGCCTTATCACATCTTCCAGACGTCTCAAAGCGCTTCACAGAACACACTATAAAGTATATTTACTTTTTATATTTATATTTACACTGCTTGTGCGCAGTGTCACACAAACAGTCGTGGATTGAAGTGACCGATTTATTATTATTTTTTTTGAAGGAATTATTACCCCCGGAAAAGCAATCCGCCAATCGACTAACAAACCAGTTCCTACGTACTGCTGGGTAAACAGAGGCGTGTGCGTGGCGTAAGGAAACTTGCCTACATTTCACCCTGACCGGGAATCAAACCCAGTTCTCTCGCTTGCGAGTCGAGCGCTCTAACCACTGAGCTACAGGGCACCAAAAAGGGGGGGGGGATAAAGTTCAGGACTTACCAGGAAAGGTCCATTCCTAGGTACTGCAGCAGCCCGTGCAAGCCCAAGGCAGTGAGCAGGAGACCCCCCGAAGTAGCAGCGTAATAGAGGAAGCTCTTATTCTCAGGGACACGTTTGGTTAACAGGAAGCTGAGGGCAGCGCCTGAAACCCAACAGAGGCCCTATAAAACACTGGTCAGTTCCTGGTCAGCTCGAACCTACAAACTGGGACTTTCAACAGGCACCTTAACAAACTGAGTTACCAAGAATGGCTCAATGTCTGTAAGAGAGGAGTAAGTTTATGTTTTATCCCCCCCCACTCCCCACCTACCCAGAGAATCACAGAAGGAGGCCATTCAGCCGATCGTGCCTGAAAGAGCTACCAACTAGACCCATGTACAAGAACATGGGAAGGTGAGTTTTTAAAATCCAGGGATCTAAATTATAATTTGATAAAGCGCCTTTCACGTCAGGAGGACGTCTCAAAGCAGGACAGGAACAACCTTCTCTTTTCGAATAGCGCCGTGGGATCTTTTAACTTCCACCTTCCAAAGTGCTAAGGCTAAGATCAGGTGAAAGTTCGATCTCTTTGGATTCCCCCGAGTAAGTGTATCATTAGCAAGAGACGCTGCGTTGCATTGCGTTGACTGAGCCGTGTCTGCAGTACTGACCTGTGACGGTTCCGGCCAGAACCTGATGAGGAAAGTGAGCCAGGATGAATATTCGGGAAATGCCGATGCCCAACAGCAGCGTGAGGTACAGCAGGATCGGGATGCTCGATGTTAACCAGCTTAAAAGCAGACGGAGACATTTGTATTATTAATAAAAAATAATAATCCTTATATATTTGATATAGCTTCTTTATCATCTCATTGGGACGTTAAAGAGGCTTCACAGGTTACACTGTAAAGTGGATTGACTATATTTCGTGGGCGAAACGCGGCAGCCAGTGTTCGGAGTACCTCATTAAGGTTAACGCTTATGGTTACGGATTCAAACTATGAGTCGCTGTTTGACTACCTCTGGACTCTGAGAGATTCGGTACACGAGTGTCACTAACCTGCCCGTGCGACTGCGCAGGAAGTTGGAAAAGCTGGTCATCATAACCCACCAGGTGCCAGCTGTAACCATGGCATGGCCCGAGGGACTTCCTGGAACACAGGAGGGAAAAGGGGGCACTTTATCACAGTGTAAATCACGAGGAAAGCTCTGTAAGGTTTATATCCCGGGATGTTCCAAATAATCCGACAGGATTAAATGCTTAACACCCTTCCATCTCTGTCATCCATCTGCTTACTCAACAATAAACGTAGTCGCAGAATATTTCTGGAGGGGAATTTGATTTGAATAGAAGTTTGACATTGGAATCTTACACCGTAATTGCGATTTTTAATGATAAATTTAACACTTAATTTTTAAAACAACAACACAACTAGCGATCCAGGTTAAAGGATTTCCTAGATAAGGAACGGTTAGCTGGTTAGACTCCAGCAGTTATCTCAACCCACACTCTGGACTCCACCCCATTCTCCCCAGGCCTTGGCCTAATACTTTCCGGAATTAGATAAAGCAACGTGTGTCCCTCCAGGGAGAGAGATCTCTGGAATTTCCGTGTGTAGGTGGGATGCGTGGAATTCCCAGTTTGGGTTGGAGCCTCTTTAAACACGCGTGTGTCAGACACACGGTTGACTTGCATAAAAAAAGATTTCCCAGCAGTCCAACTGAAACGAACCTGGTCCGGTTTCACATGTGGAGAAAAACTGCTGTGTCCGGGGCAGATGTGGTTCAATGTAAACTCCCGATTCGTGAATCCACCAAAACGGTCTCTCTCCAAACATCAGCCTGTCGGGAAGACAAGGACCAGTCAGATTTCATACAGTCGTCTAATATTCTGTGATTTCTGAAAATGCGCTGTGTAATAATAATAATAATCCTTGCATTTGATATACAATATAAAGTTACATTTACATAGCGCCTTTCAAGTCGGAAGGATGTCTCAAGGGGCTGGACAGTCAGGGATTTGGACCCGAGGGGGTCGGGATCGGGGAGGATGGAGGGTAGGAGGATGCCCGAAGGCTCAGTCGAAGAGGAGGGTTTTGAAAACCTAAAATTAAAAACCTAATTAGTTTTTTTAAAAAAAAACTAAATTAATCAAATACTAAACTCATTGGTTCAAGACTGTATCCATCACTAGGCCCATCTCAAGACCTTTGTCTTCTACAGAGCCTTTGGTCGTCTTCCCACCCACGCCCCCATGCCCTCCAACCCTCTCTGATCCCAACCCACAGCTTGGGTGCAAACCCTTGACTGTCCAGCGCCTTGGGACGTCCTCCTGATGCGAAAGGTGCTGTACAAATGTAATTTGTTACTGTTGTGGTTGAGATGCTGTCCTTCGTATGAGACATTAAATATAACTCAAGACCCCCTAGAATGCAACTTGATCCATATTAGGGGTTGAAAGTGATGGAGGGGAGGGTGGGGGGGGGGGGGGGGGAACGACGACAACAAAACAGTAAGAGAATATCTTGTGGGGAAACACTTGGATTTATGACAGGAAGAACGTGAGGGTGAAATAATGCACCACATTCCAATTTCGAGCACAAAAGAGCGCAAAGATTTATAAAAGGGTAAGAGCACAAATAAAATGTGAGGCGAGGGCTTCTGGTGTGTGTCCGATGTGTTCTCTTGTTTTTTAACCCAGGTTGCCTCAGCTCTCACCGATTGCCATAAAACTGTTTTAGTTTTAAAGCTTCAGTCACATTGGATGTCTCAGATATTTTGACTCCAGGAGGCGGAGTGACTGGGGGATGGAATTCCAGAGGTTGGGAGCGGAGTGGCTGAAGGCTCTCCTGCCAATGGTGGGGCGGGTGGATCGGGGGATGTGGAGCAGCCAGAGCCGACTGAGCGGAGGGAGCGGGCGGGTTGGTAGGGGGTTAGGAGGTGGCGGAGGTGGTGGGGGGGGGGCGAGGCCATGGAGGGCATCGTGCACTGTAGGCACAAATGTCCTGCGCAGAAGCTCTCTCTACCTCTGGCCAGACACGTAAACTGGGCGCACGTTAAGGTTTAAGAGCAAATAAGAGGGGTTGCGGGGAAACAAGAAAGGAAAGCGATAGAGGGAAGGAACAGGGTGATAATAATAATAATAATCCTTGCATTTCGTAAAGTGCCTTATCACGTCTTCGAGACATCTCAAAGCGCTTCACAGAATATACTGTGAAGTAAATGGACTGTATATTTTTGGGCGAAACACGGCAGCCAATTTGCGCACAGCAGCATCCGCCAAACAGCAGTGGTTTGAAGTGACCAAATTATTATTATTGCTGTTATTATTTTTCGGAGGGATTATTACCCCCCGGAAAGCGATCGGCCGTTCGACTAACAACCAGGTTCCTTCCTTGCTTGCTCCTTGGTAAACAGAGGTGTGCGGAGTAAGGATGTACTGTAACGTGAACTGTTACTGAATTGAGAGAGGAGGAGAGAGAGACACAGAGAGGACACTGAGAGGAGAGAGGACACAGAGAGGAGAGAGGACACAGAGAGGAGAGAGAGACACAGAGTGGAGAGAGAGGCACAGAGAGGAGAGACACAACAACAACAAGATTCCATTTATAGAGCGCCTTTCATGTCGGGAGGACGTCCCAAGGCGCTGTACAGTTGGGTCAGGACCCGAGCAGGGGGGAAATGGTCAGGGTGATGGGAGGGAAGGGAAGGAGCGAGGAGGGGGTAGAGAGTCGAGAGGGGAGCTGAAGGCTGAAGGTCGAAGAGAAAGGTTTTGAGACCGGCCTTGAAGGAGGAAAGGGAGGAGGCGGCGAAGGCACTGGGGGATAGAGTTCCAGAGCCTCGGGGCTGAGAGGCTGAAGGCCCGGTCACCGATGGTAGGACGGTTGGGGCGGGGGATGTGGAGCAGACCGGAGCCAGAGGAACGGAGGGAGGGGATGGGGGGTGGGTGGATGTTGGAGGGGAAGTGACCGCGGAGCGAATTTCCTTGATTTTGGATTCAAGGAAATCCAGCATCTCCTCACAGTGAAGGTTGGAGGAGATGACCTGCGCGGGGTGGCGGGGGGGACGGAGGAGTCGGGATGTGGTAGAAAACAGTAGCCTGGGGTTGTTCTTCGCCTCCAGGATTATCCTGGAGTAGAAGGACGACTTGGCCGAGGCTAGAGTGGAGCGGTAGATTTTGAGGAGGTCCAGCCAGATTTGTCGGTGGACCGTTAGGCCAGATTTGAGGCAGGTGCGTTCAGCGGCCCGCACCTGGCTTTCAGTGAGCGGAGGTGGGTGGTGAACCAGGGGGAGGAGCGAGAGTAGGAGACAGTACGGGAGGTGATGGGGGCAAGAGTGTCGAGTGTGGAGGAGAGGGTGATGTTGAGGAGGTTGAGAGGAGAAGAGGGGTCAGTGAGGGTTGAAGCCCAGAGGGAGAGGACTTCAGAGGACTCCAAGGCAGCGGTTAGGGATTGTGGGGGTAACTTCTTCCAGGGGCGGTAGAAGATGGTGGTGGGTCTGGTGGAGGTGGGGAGGGGGGTGGAGGTGGTGAAGGAGATGAAGTGGTGGTCGGAGACGGCCTTGTCGGTAATAGTGACATCCGAGACACTGAGGCCCCGGGTGATCACCAAGTCGAGTGGGTGGCCGTGACTGTGAGTGGGGGAGTTGATGTGGAGGGAGAGGTTGAGTGAGGAGAGCAGGGAGGAGAAGTCTGAGGAGATGGAGCAGGAGGGGGTGAAGTGCAGGTTGAAGTCGCCCAGGATGATGAGGCGATCAGAGCAGAGACAGAGATGTAAGAAGTGTCGAAATATCGGAGATGAAGGTGGGAGAGATTTTAGGGGGCCGGTAGAGGAGGATTTTGAGTGAGAGGAAGGAGGTGTGAGAGAGGGTGAGGTGCTCAAAAGAGGGGAAAGAGCCAGTGGAGTAGGGGGATAGGGCAAGTAGTGTCCTTGAGATAAGGGCAACACCACCGCCACGGCGGTTGGGGCGAGGGATGTGGTGGGAGGTGTAGCCGGGTGGTGTGGCCTCCGTGAGGGGGAAGGTGTCGCCTGGGGTGAGCCAGGTTTCCGTTAAGGCCATGATGTCAACGCTCTCATCAAGGATGAGATCGTTGATGACCAGGGCCTTGTTACAGAGGGAGCGGACGTTTTGTAGTCCGATGTGGAGGGAGCGGTTGACAGAAGGGTGTGTGGGAGGGGAGGGGGGTCCAGGTTGTGAGGCAGGGGTGGGGGGAATGGGGATGAGGGAGGAGAGGTTGGCTCCCCGGGTCTGTGTCCGGGGTGGCTGGCGAGTGTGGTGGGGAATGGGGCAGTCGGTGTGGCTGCTGCTGGACAGCCAACGCCGAGTGCCGTGGTGAGCCCGGCGGAGGGTTCCCAGACTGGAACAGAGGGAGGTTGTGGGGGGGTCAAGTGGGGATAGAAGGCGAGAGGGACGGAGAGAGAGGAGGACAGAGCGGGAGAGATGCAGAGGGGGGAGGGTTTGGGGGGAGGGGTAGAGCGGCAGCTATAGTGCGCACACGGGGACCGGGAGCGAGCGGTCAGGTGGATGGAAACATTATCCCATAGGCTGGGGCTGGGGCAGCCAACCCAACAGGACCATGGTGGGCCCTGATGTGAGCCCTGGGGGGGGGGGGGTTCCCCCGCTCCGCCCCCACCCGTTCCCTCCTCAGCCCCACAGCCACTCCCTGCCGCCGCTCCCCGTGTGGTTGGACTCCCTGCCCCCGTGACCTTGAATACCTGGGTAGGTAGGCCCAGGCTCCTCCCCGCGCTGTCCTGCCGCCGCTCCCCGTGTGGCTCAGAGAGGCGAGAGAGACACAGAGAGGAGAGAGGGGACACGGAGAGAGGGGACACAGAGAGGAGAGAGGGGACACAGAGAGGAGAGAGGGGACACAGAGAGGAGAGAGGGGACACAGAGAGGAGAGAGGGGACACAGAGAGGAGAGAGACACAGAGAGGAGAGAGGGGACACAGAGAGGAGAGAGAGAGACACAGAGAGGAGAAAGGGGACACAGAGAGGAGAGAGGGGACACAGAGAGGAGAGAGGGGACACAGAGAGGAGAGAGAGGACACAGAGAGGAGAGAGAGACACAGAGAGGAGAGGAGAGGACACAGAGAGGAGAGAGAGGACACAGAGAGGAGAGAGAGAGACACAGAGAGGAGAGAGAGACACAGAGAGGAGAGAGAGAGAGACAGAGAGGAGAGAGAGAGACACAGAGAGGAGAGAGAGAGACACAGAGAGGAGAGAGGGGACACAGAGAGGAGAGAGAGACACAGAGAGGAGAGAGAGAGAGACAGAGAGGAGACACAGAGAGGAGAGAGAGGACACAGAGAGGAGAGAGGAGAGAGGGGACACAGAGAGGAGAGAGAGAGACACAGAGAGGAGAGAGAGAGACACAGAGAGGAGAGAGAGAGAGAGACAGAGAGGAGAGAGGGGACACAGAGAGGAGAGAGAGAGACACAGAGAGGAGAGAGAGAGAAGAGAGAGAGACACAGAGAGGAGAGAGAGAGACACACAGAGAGGAGAGAGAGAGAGACACACACACACACACACACACACAGAGAGAGAGAGAGAGCCACAGAGAGGAGAGACACACACACACACACACACACACACACACAGAGAGCCACAGAGAGGAGAGAAAAGAGCATCTGACCATTTGCAAGTGAGGTTCAGCCATTCCGTGAGGATGGCAGTCCACAGCACACAGACCCCGACTCTTTTGTTCAGGGCATAAGCCACAGGGAAGCAGACGAGGAAGGAGGTTTTGGGATCCCCCAACCAACTGAGGAACAGCACAGCCCCCTGCAGCCCCCCCAGCCATCCCTGCAGGGTCTCAGCTGCCCAGATGCCCTGCCTGTGAATGGCCTCCATCTGCAACCTCGTCCTGGCAGACCAGGGTGGGGGTGGGGGTGGGGGGGTGAGGATGCCCAGCCTTCGCTGTGCAAACGCCCCGCACCCGCCTCCAGTGCGCAAACTTGTCACCCAGTGCGCAAACTTGTCACCCAGTGCGCAAACTTGTCACCCAGTGCGCAAACTTGTCACCCAGTGCGCAAACTTGTCACCCGGTCCGCTAACCAGTCGCTTTCCACCTTTCGCTTTCGCAAACAGCCCACAACTGGGACACATCGTTGCACCACCGCCGCTCCGATCTGCTCAGTGCCAACAGCCCTTAAAGAGGGAGGAATCATCCAAATGATCGCACTGTGCGCTGATGCTCTGTATTATAACGTAGAGAGTTCCCCCCCATTGACTTTACAGTGCGTTCTGTGAAATTATGAGCGTTTTTTTCACGTGTTGTCATTGTAAATAATGATGATGATGATGATGATAATAATCCTTGCATTTGATATAGGACGTCCCGAAGCGCTTCACAGAACGCACTGTCAAGCGAAGCGACTGCATATTTGTGGGCGAACGCGTGCGGCCGATGGCGCACAGCGATCGTCCCCACAAACAGTCGTGGATTGAAAACGACCCATTTTTATTATTGTTTTGGGTTTTGGAGTGGATTATTGTTAGGCTCTGTGTGGAGTAAGGAAACTTATTAAGAATAATCCTTGCATTGGATATAGCCTCCTGGCTATAAGGTGGCGGTGAGGAAGTATATCAAATGCAAGGATTATTATTCATTATAATAATTATACTGTGAGTTATTATAATAATAATCATCATCATCATAACGATAATAAGCCTTGCATTTGATATAGTGCCTTATCCCGGGAATTCGAGAGGGAGGCGTCAGCAAAGTTCATTCGCGACGACACATTCCAGAACTTTAGCAAAGAAAGACAAGTTGGAAATTGGCCTTTAGCTCATCGGATTAGAAGGATTGAGGGTGGAGGGTTTTGAGGAGGGAGTTTGGAGGGGGTGTGGGACAGAGCCTGAGTGAGGGACTGTGTTTGCTAGCAGGGGGCAGGGCAGTAGGAGTTCAGTGCCCAGCAGCTGGGTGGGGAGTGGCTCGAGACAGCAGGTGATGGGCTTCCGGTGGTTGATGGTTGAGAGGGAGGAAGGAAGGAAAAATAGGGGGCAAAGGAATGTATGGTGGGGGCAGTGTAAGAGCTGTGGCGGACGGAGTGTGTGATGTAGGAGGGTGTCTGTGTGTGTGTGCGGGCTAGGGGTCATGGTGGTGGTGGTGGAGGAGGAGGAGGAGGCAGAAGGTGGATGTTATCCATCTTTGATATGAAGAAGCCCAGGACCTCTTCTCACTTGGTATCGGATGTGAGGATCGAGGCTGCTTGAGAGGATTATTACTATTATATTATTATAAAGTGGATTGACTGTGTATTTTACAGGGAATTCTTTTAAAAATATATATATATAATACAGGTATGTTTGTCCCGCTCCCCACCCCCTGGATTTGGTTTACAAAAATATTGATAATAATAATAACAAATTTGTATTTGGTAATAATAATGTGGAGTCCTGTAGCTCAGTGGTTAGAGCACTCGCTTTGCGAGCGAGAGACCTGAGTTCAATTCCAGGCAGAGGGCGAAACCTTGGGCAAGTTTCCTTACTCCACACAGAGCCTAATAATAATCCCTCCAAAACCAACAACAATAATAAATTGGTCATTTTCAATCTACGACTGTTTGTGGGACATTGCTGTGCGCAATTGGCCGCCGCGTTCGCCCCAAATATACAGTCAATTCACTTTACAGTGTGTTCTGTGAAGCGCTTTGGGACGTCCTCCCGACGTGAAAAGCGCTATATCAAACACAAGGATTATTATTATTACTATTATATTATTATAAAGTGGATTAACTGTGTATTTTACAGGGAATTTAAAAAAATATATATATATATACGTAACACAGGTATGTTTGTCCCGCCCCCTCCCCGCCCCTGGATTGGGTTTTACAAAAAATTATTGATAACAATAACAATTTGCATTTGGTAATAATGCCCTATTATTGCGTCTCAAAGCGCTTCACGGGATTCGCTGTAAAACGGACCGACTGCATAATTTAAAAAAATATATATATACATAATATCCGCACGAGTACGGGTCTGTGTGTGTGTCCCACCCCCCCCCCCCAGACCCCAGACCCCCTTCCCTATACATTGATGACCCCCATAACAGCATCACTGCCACAGTAGCCTTAATGCCACCACTCTGACGCATGCGCACAACCTCTAGCACCGGCCCGGGGGGAGGAGGAGGGAGGGGGAGGGAAAGGGGGCGGAGTCGCGCATGCTCAGTGAGTAGCGAGAGCGAGAGAGAGAGAGCGCGCGAGACCGACGCACCGGTGAAGGCAAACGTTGCCGCCCTCTGACGCATGCGCACATCCGGGCGGGAGTAAAGGCGGGGTGGAGGGGGGTGGGGAGGAGAGAGAGAGAGAGAATGGGGGGGCGGGGCCGCGGCTGCGCATGCTCAGTGAGTAGCGCGAGAGACAGACGCGCTGAGCGAGCGCCCGACGCCGCCGCTCTGACGCTGACGCACGCGCTGACGCTGACGCACGCGCACATCCCCCGGCCCGGGTGGTGGTGGTGGTGAGTGGGGGGGGGGAAACCGCGCATGCTCAGTGAGTGAGAGAGACGCACATACACACACACACACAGTGAGCGAGCGAGCGAGCCAGCCAGCGCGCGCAAAGGCTGCCGGGTACAGAGCCGCCGCCGCCGCCACCGCCGCCGCGCGCCGCCGCTGCCGCCCCGGCTCCCAACAAGATGGCCGCTCCGGGTGAGTACTTCAGCGTCGGGAGCCAGGTGTCCTGCCTGACGTGCCTGGGCCAGCAGCTGCTCGGCGAGGTGGTCGCCTTCGATTACCAGTCCAAGATGATCACTTTAAGTATCCTTTTTTTCCCCCCACCACCACCACCCGCTCCCCCCCCCCCCTCTCCCTCCCCTCCCCCGGCGGTGGTGTTACTCCCCCCACTCCTCCTCCTCCTCACTAACACTACCCCCCCCCCCACACACACACACACACAACCACTCACCCACCCACCGTGGCTTTGGGGTGGCCGGGGGAGGGGTGCAGGGGCCTGGCTGTGTGGGGAGGGGGGGCTGTGGGAGGCCGGGGAGAGGGGATCGGGGGCCTAGCTGAGGGACGCGGTGCCAGATAATGTCCCCCCCCCCCCTCTCCTGCTCTCTCCACACAGCGCATGCTCTTCTCTCTCTCTCTCTCCCCCCCCCACCCCACCCCCGCTTTTTCTCACCTGACGCCGGTCAACCAACCTCCTCCCCTTCCTCCTTTCCCCTCTTTCCCTCCATCTCTTTCCTCCTTCTCTCCCTCACTCTCTCTCTCTCTCTCTCTCCTTTCCCTCCATCTCTTTCCTCCTTCTCTCCCTCACTCTCTCTCTCTCTCCTTTCCCTCCATCTCTTTCCTCCTTCTCTCCCTCACTCTCTCTCTCTCCTTTCCCTCCATCTCTGTCCCCTTCTCCCTGTGTCTCATTTTCCCTCTCTCCCTCCATCTCTTTCCCATTCTGCCCCCCCCCCCTCCTCCTCCCCTTTACAGGGTCTCGCCCAACAAAGTCCAGGCTTGCTGCCCCCCCCCCTCCTTTCTTTCATCCTCTCTCTCTCTCTCCCTCCCTCCCTCTCAGTCAATGGCACCGCTCAATGTGCCACAAGGTGAGACCGGAGTCACCACTATTTGGCAGCCGCTTTGCTCCCCACCACCACCACATACCATCGTGGCCTTTTTATTTTGTCACAACCTCCCTGTGCTGTGTGGTTTGGGTGCTCGTTGTATTGAATGAAGGTGGTAGGAGGGAGGGACAGAGGGAGGGAAGGAGACAGACAGAAAGAGAAAGAAAGATTGAGAGAGGTGGAATTTTTTTTTGGGGGTGGCAGTTTTTTAATATATATATGTGTGTGTATGTCTGTGTGTGTATATATATTTTTCAACAAAAAAGACAAGCGATGCTACAACCACAAGGCTGCGTCCTCCTCTTTGATCCTTCAATAGCAATGGGGGCCGGGGGGGGGGGGGGGCAAAGCCTGGGGATATTAAGGCCACTTTAGCTCTTGGGGTGGATGGTGTGATGGTGGTGGGTGGGGGGTATGGAGCTGAGTTTAGTGTGGCGTGCTCCTCGCGTGGTTACCATGGGTAGAGGGGGAAGCTATGACTCGGAAGTGTCAGTTTCTGTTGTCTGTCGGACTCCCTCCAACATGCTATGCTGGTGCTGCCCTCAGTCACTGCATGGCCCGCCTAAGCCAGTTTAGTTAGCATGTGCTCGTCACTTTCAATACCAGAGGAAAAAAAAATACATTCAATATTAATTATTCAGCCTTCACTTTGTGTAGTTTACATTGGGAAATAAGTGTAGGGCAAACTCATCTGTGTAATTTTATTCATCACACATGGCTTAAATCCGTATTTGTCACCTTAATACTAGATATTTAATAGTGGTCAGAAAGATTTTTTAAAAAAAAAACCCACTGTACATGCTTGTATCTTTCTAGGCTGGTGAGCGTAGTGAGTGTGGTTGGGTATCGGAGTCTGCAGGGTTGGAATTTTCATTCATTTTGGTATGGTCTGGATGTAAAGCATATTACTAATTTGAATATTTGGTGATATATGTGGGTGAAACAAAACTGACTAGAAACATCATAGAGAAATATATACTGTATTAATTTTGTGCTGGAATTTCAGCCAGGACCCAATGAAGTGTTAGAAAGCAGGAGCCCAGTCGTGGGTAACTTTATTTCAGTTGTTTGCATCTATTTGTGAAATTGATGCATTTGAGTGAAAATACCCTGTTGATTGTTTAATTAATTTTACAATCCCAGAACAATATCAAATAGTGTTATGGATGAAAATAATGTTGCTGGAAATGCTTTGCAGCTCGGAAACTGATTTCAAAATCACCTACTTATTTTATATTTGGGATTGAATATTTTTTTCCCGAAGAAATTCGCTTCTAATAATTTAAGATATTATCCCAAAATATTTTTGACACTGAATCAGCGTGAACTGAATCAAAAAAGACATTGGTGTGTCCTGGTTTTGTTTGGGTTGCACCTCCAATTTCGTGAACTCTTAATTACGATTGTGTTTATTAAAAAAAAGGTGCTGGTGTGAAAATTCAACAGTTTATTTGGTGAGAGGAAATCATTTTTTTGTTTGTTTGAATCTGCAGATTAATGTTGACATCGATATTTTATAGATCCACATAGTACAGTCTGATGACCTTTCAAGGTTACTTCAAATATTGGGTCAATGCTTTCAGTTCTGTCTCTCAGGTAGTTAGTTACTAGCAGCACTGTTCAATAGTTGATGAAAATGAAAGGTACAGTGCAAAGCTATATCACTAGATACTTGTTTGCGTGAAACTCGGTGTTGACTGACTTGGATGGCTATGTACCTCTCTGTAGCAGAAACAAGTAGTTCCTTGCTTATTAAGTAGTGCTGTGGGAGGTGATGCTTATTAGAGACGTTTTAAGTTTAGTATAAATATTCATGGGAGAACATCTTTTATAGTGTTCTAATTCATTGGTATGGTGAAGGAAAGAATGAAGAAAACAGTCAGGAACACATTAAAGGTGACCTGGGAAGGAAATCTTGGACCAAAAATCTCAATTGGCTAACCGTGAAAATTTTAGCATGTAAATATTACAATATCAAGCATAGCCTTACCCTCTTTCTCCCCCCCCCCCCCCCCGAATACAGTATTCCTTTGCTGTATAAAAACAGCTTGAGTACGAGGCAGATCATAAACCTGCTGTACATTGATTTTCTATCCCTTGTGCAGTAATAAACGGCATGAGTTGGGAACAAAGTTCTCTTACGTTGATCTGGTAGTTAAGCATTGTTATTGTGCTATATAAATGCAATTTGTTGTTGTTAATAAACTGGTTTTGAGAAGTTTTGTTTCATTGTTTAACTGTTGAGCCATTGAACAGTGTTCTGTGTCATTATCGATTTTTGCTAAGTTTTTGTGTGGGAGTGGGCAAATGTATGTAATCAAGCAATCCGGGACACTACCCTGCGTGAGGGGCCCTCTATAAATTCAAGTTGTTGTTGATGTTCAAAGACTGTGAATTGTGCTCCTTAATCTTTTTCTTAAAGAATGTCCCTCCTCCAGTGGGAAGCCCAACCACAATGATGTTCTACTGATTAATTTAGCATATGTTTCGGATGTTAAAACAATTAATGATCGTACAGAAACTCCACCACCTTTAGCTTCACTGAATGTTAACAAGGTAAGAATGTTAACCCAATTGAGTGATATTTTAATCTGTCTTTTTGTATATGAAGTAAACCTTTAACCTTTGTATATAAAGTCAATCTTTAACCTTTGCTCATCATTATTGCTGGGCATCAGGGGCTGAGGGGCGGTGAGAGGAAATAACCTATAGTTGTTTGCATTTTGTTTAAAAAAAATGATGAAATATGATTTTGCCTGGCTGATTTTCTTTTGAAAACTATTGGTGCTCAGCCTTGGTAATGCGTTTTATATTCTTTTTATTGAGGAGTGATCTGCCTTTTTAACCATAATCTTTCTTCTTTTAAACATTGCCGTTTTATAGTACTGATTTTGTAAACTAATAGTTGCTGCTTTATGATCACCATGCGACCCCAGGTATCTCATCTATTCTTCCTTCTGAATGTCTTAATGCACTGCTAGAACACAGTCCGTGGACTAATGCTGCAAGTGGCTTTGTGTGTGTGTAATTTGGAGGAGAGGACTATGGTGAAGCCTGCTTCAATCCTCGCCCAGCATCCACACATGCATGCTTCCCAGGTGGATCACTATTGGGAGCAGAAACACTGGCGCATGTTGCTGTCGTGGTGACTGCTGCTTTCTGGCTGAGATAGGTAACCGAGCACAGACTGCAAATGAATCTCCTTGGTTTGTAAGGATCAGTTTCATCTCGAATGAAACTGGAATATTTATCAATCCAGCCTTGGGCTGGGTTTGGGAGGCGTGAGGGTGTAAGAGTTGACTAATCCCGTATAAACTTCAACTTTATCTTCACGAATGCTAGTCGTCAACTTTAGGAATGGGTGGTTTCTGCAGTTCATAGAATATTACAGCACAGAAGGAGGTCATTCGGCCCATCGTGCCTTTGCCAGCTCTATGGAAGAGCTAACCAATCAGTCCCACTCCCCTCGCTTTTTCCCCATAATCCTGTAGTTGCTCTGCCGACCTTTATCTCTGAACCCAGATTCTTACCAATCCCACAGTTAAAAGTTCAGCAGCCTGACCGCACAAGTCGTACTTTTGAAATCATTTTCCACTTGATAGGAGGCATCTTCTCTAAAATAAATTACATGGTAGATATCGTTTCTGACTGCTCTTTGCAAAGAATATTTTGAAATTCATTCAGTATCCTTGTAGAGCCATGCACTGTGCAGCGCTGCGCAATACAGCTCGGCAAGTATGAATCCCATTCTTAGCTAGGTTTCTGGTCTCGGCTGTGATAGCAGTTGGGGCATTACAGTTGCCCTCAAATGCTCGTGGGGTGGGTGGGAATCGGGCAAGATTACTGCTTCTGCTTGTGAACTATTGAGCGAGTTCCAGTGGATAGTGCGTGTGTAGATAGGATCTTATTCGCTGATGTCCCACTCACCTCATGGGCAAACTGCCTGCTGATATTTGCTGCCCCGTTATACTATCTTGGCTCAACCGTGTAGAATTACTACTTGGGACCATATTAAAGACTGAATCAGTATCTTCATCAATGGAGTGGAGTGCTGTTCTTTCACTTTTGTATTCATCCAACAGTGCTGGATGAATCGTGTGTTAAAATTCTAATCATAAAATCAATCTGGACAACTTGTTCAAGTTCCTCTTTGGTTTGCAGTTGCAGCACTCGCCAAACTGGAAAATCTTACTCCTATGGGTTTCTAGTGTCAGAATCGCAGATGTGTCTGTCGCAACAGTAGCACAATTAGTTTAGGGGAGTTAGGCTGCATTCGCAGGAGTGATGCCACTTAACCTGGCATTTATTGCGCAATATTACGTGTAATTCAGCGAGTCATTCTGTGGTAGTAGATCTTAAAGCTCTTTTTTTACTTACTGTTGCTGGACGGTGCATTAAACCCCAGGAAATAAAGTTTGAAGAAGTGCAAGAGTGGCCTCAGAAGTGCTGTGTCCATCTTTAAATTCCAGCTTAAACTCTGGCCTCCCATCGTTTAAACCTTTCAGTGGTGATATACCAATAACGACAAAACATACAACAAAAGGTATCTGACGAAGTGAAGGGATGGGGTAGGGATGGTCCTGGATGAGAAGGGACCATTTTACATCATCGAGCCTAGTATGTTGTGCTTCTTCCTCTTCTGTTCTTCAATGACGTGCCAACCTCTTGTTTAGAATACTGTTTTTCTGGTATTTATTTTTTTTCTTTCCGATTTCTAGCATTTAGGTTTTCTTTTTGCCTCCCCAGTGAATTCACTGGTTTTCCTGTTTTAATTACTGCAGGCTCGTATTTGGGCACACAGAGGAAAGAAAGCATCGTCAGACCATTGACAAACTAATGGACTTGTTGATAAAACAAGGATCCAAATAAAATAGCTTGACTCTTTGGTTTATAAGCTGTTAATCTGTTAATGCCTCGTTTTTGTTTTATGACTAATTAATACAAAAAAAATCCTAAAATGTTTACCCTACAGAAGGAAGCTGTTTGGCCCGTTGATGATGAACTATTTGTTTAATAAAACATGATATGTTTGAGCCTGTTTATTTGCGACATACAAGGTTATTAGCATAGTTTAACTAATGTATATGTAGGCACTTCCTGTGTTGAGTATATTCTATCCACAATGCTAGCCTTTGACTCCTGTGTGTCCCTGGCTCAACTGCTGTATCCTACGTCATTGAGGTTCAATGGTTCCTACAGGCTGGATTAAATGGCTACAGTACAAAGTACTCAAAGAAGGCTAACTTCCAATGGTTGTATTAACCTTTTAGATGGAAATTTGGATGTATTATAGCCTCTTTTTATTAAGGTGACTTAAGCAACAGATTTTACTTTTAATTTCTTAAGCAACTGCGCCTTGATTAGTTTTTTTTTAACAGTGATATCGTAATCGAAACCTAATGAATGAAAAAAAACTTAACGGAGTATAACACTCCCATGTTCAACCATGTAATCGTAAAATTCATATCAGCTTTTTGAATTTTGGTCAAATTCAAAAGATTGGATACTGAATGGACTGGTGAGATTTGAGACCATCATCAGTAATCTGATTTTGTTTGAAATGAAATTCCGGTGATGAAATCATTTGCATCAGATGAAACAAGCGCATTTGATTTTTACTGCATTTATTTTCCATTGAAAATACGCAACGTACATGACCACGTTTGGGTATGGATTTATACAGGCGTTTAATGTGTTGGAACCGGAATTGCATGTTGGTATGTGGTTTTAGAATGATAAAATGGTTTGAACTACAGTACTTAGTGGAATTTGTTTTTGCATTTTAGTTTATGCTAGACTTTTAACTTTGAAAAATCTTTTTAAGTCTCAGTGGTTTGACCCCCTGCTCCTGAAATCACCTTTTAGACACTGCTGTAGTTTGATTTGGGCCAGAATACCGTGTGAACGGTTGTCCTTCCGTCAATCAGGCATCATATTCACGCACTCACCGCACCTGTGGGTTCTGGTTGGCACCAGCACAAATGTGAGCAATGGGACTCCTGCAGGGAACCTTTACAATACTGCATTGGTGCTGGCTTCCAACAAGTCCTTGATCCAGATCATAGTGTTTTAGATAGTTAAATGCTGACAGTACCACAGCGTGCACTTTAGAGACATTTATGCCTTTCGAATGTCAACCTGGCGTTGTTCGCTGGACAAAGCCAAGCGCTATGTATTTTTTTTATCCTATTTCCTCTCTTCCCTCGGGACCCCCCCCACCCCCGAACCTACAAATGGAACCTGCTTTTGTCAGTTCTCAGTGTATGTGTTAACTCTTAAAAGGCGCAAGGAATTTCCAAATGTCAGATTTCCAGCTCGGAAGGAGGAGTGGGGGGGGGGGGGGGAATAGACCAAAGTGGTTCTAAACGGAAATTCAGGATTGTCTTACATTGGAGATTTATTAAGCCAATGCTTCCAGCTATCCATTATTCTGGATAATAAAACTTCATCTGGAAAACTGACGCCACTCATTTCTGATTTGTGCGACATATAAATCGGAGAAACTAGCGATACGAGCAGGATGTCAGTATTTTGTACATTCAAAGTCTTCAAGTACTTTGATAGCTGTGGGGCTTGGTTCTTTTATAGGTAACTTGATCCCCGTTCACTTCAGCTGGGCAGTATTTCCCATTTGATCTGAGTGTACAATTGTGATGGCATTCCTGAGATGATTTCACTTGTATGGTGGTGTAACTGCTGGTCATTAAACACTTGCGTGGGCCCATAAACACTTCCATTGTGTCATTTAAGTCGGTCTCGGTATTGTGTTCTGTGGATTATGTTCTCTGGACAGTTGGGCCCTTGTTTGACTTTCTGAGCGTCCTTTTCTGTGTTACTATGAACGCTATGGGGCAAAACGGCGTAGGGCTGTGACGGGTCTATCAAACATTGTGACTTTCTTGTTCATCCAGCATAGAGTGAGTGTGGGCAGTGTGAGAAATGTAGTTTAATTTGCTAAACTACTTCCTCTCGACTGTACATGAACCTGACGATTTGGCGATTATATTTGCTTCACCAGAATATCTTAATATCATTTCTTCCTGGGTAAGGTTATCACAGCGACTTATCGCGTTTACCATTTCCTACATTAAAAAAGCTATTTGAATTGTAAACAAACTTCAATGCAAAAAAATATTAGGTGAGCGCCACCACCATCAATGGAACTGTTCCAACCGTCTGACACAGAGATGATAGAAGCTGCTCTTGGCAGTTGACACCAGAAGTGGTCTGATCATTAAACTGTTCTTTTGCCAGCTTGCCAGCCGAGCACGGACAGAGAAGGAAGAGAAATTAAGCCAAGCATATGCAATTAGTGCTGGAGTCTCTCCAGAGGGTCAGCAACTTTTTCAGACTATTCATAAGACGTAAGTTCAGTAGTTGCTTTTTTTTCTTCTCTTCTTACTCCTCCCCCTCCCCCTGACACACACGTTGCCTTTGTTAGATTTGTTTCCGACAAGACCACATCATAATTGAGGCTATGGGTTTAATTTATATCTTGCCAGGGTTTAATTCTCTGGGTCTAGATTCACCTTTGTTCATCTTTTTTCAAAAAAAAGAAAAAAACATTTTCATGCTTTACAATGTATAATTTTGCGACATTACTGATGTTGGGGGGAGGAGGGAGACAGCAAAAGGGGATATAAGAGTTAGTGGGAAGATACTGTGAAATAAAAGTGTGTAGCTACAGAGAAGCTGTTATTGGGTCTTCTATTCATTCACCTGTATCTTTCCTTCCTCCCACTGACCTTCTACTTTTGAGTTTGTTTCCCTGTATCATTACTGTCCTCTTTCTGCAAGCGCAAATCAAGCTCTGTTAGGCTTTCACTCTTACTGCTCTGAAACCAACCCTTAAGTAAGCGGATGATTATGGTTCTATCTCTTTTTTTCTCTCTCTCCCTCCCCCTCTATATTTCTTTCTCTCTCACTCTCTCTCTCTCTCTCTCTCTTTACTGGCCTTCCTAATCAGGAGCTCAACCTGGCTATGATTGACTCAGTAGATGGAGAGCGAGCCATGGAATGACGGCTTGGAGTGCTGGCTGTACCACCACAATAAGCAGGAGGTTTCAGTGTCGGAAACATTCAAGCCTGTCACAATTAGTGGCCGTGTACTAAAGCTGTGTTCATATTTGCTGTTGTGACTTGATGATTGGGAGTTGTCTGCTCATCTTACAACTTACATAACACATACTTTTTTAGCCTCAACGACTGTAAATGGCAAGAGAAGAGCATACTCGTCATGGAAGAAGTTGTAATTGTACCACCTTACCAGGTTGAGAACTGTAGAGGCAAAGAGGGAAGCGCATTAAGTCACGTACGCAAAATAGTAAGTATATGTACCTTTTTAATCCCCGATGTTAATTTTTTTTGTTTGTTTTTTCCTCTCTCTCTCCCTCTTCACGTCTTCTTTTTTTGGCCCCACCACTCATTGTCTGGCCGAAAGGGCATTCGATTGACCTATTCTCAAGGCTGTTGATGCTGTAAAGCTCCACCTAGTTGTGTGAGAATGTTGCAGGTTGATTTACCTGTAAGGGGAAATGTCTAGCTGTTAATGTACCCACATTATCCCATATACCATAACCATGAGGCCACTTCAAGACATGCCACTTCCATGTAGCTTTACTTGAGGTTATACAGGAGCCTCTCTTGTAGAAAAGGTGGTTCCAATTGACCAAAGAATTAAATAGTATATTTTTGGGGCATGCGTGGGAATTTTCCATATCATTTGAAGGGGAGCTGAATGGATTTTCCTCATCCCAACTTGGGGAAACTTCAACAGTCAGTACTAAGATAACAAAGGGAATGAACGGTTGTGCGTGTTGGAGAAATAAGCAATGCTAGGCTGAATGCTGGCGTTATAGGAAATGAAAAGGTAAGAATGAAAATTGATGCAAGAAATTTTCTTGACAATTTTCACGTCCCAATGTGGTGGCATTATCACGAGCCTTCGTCTCCCAAGTACCACACGTTTGTCTCCCAGTCATGTTGCTCAAAGGCACCTACTCCCAAGTGGGAAAAGAAGTGGGCCTGCACACTGGTCAGGTTCAAGTTACATCCCAGACGTTGTATGTTGCAGACCACTAAGGTTTAGCTTTACTACACATCGTTGGTGTCACTCCACTGGTCTTTCAATCAGCTTACTTTTTCTTTGGCAATTTTCTCCCCTCCAGAAGATTTTCTCTTCACTCACCCCACCCACCTCCTTCGTGCTGAAAGACAGGAACATAGGCCATACCCTTCAGGACCTCACTTAAGTGTCTTATTATTCATGTGTGAACCTTGTTGGCAGGCTATTTACTTGAGATGTGGAAGGGGAAGGAAAGCCACAACTTGTGTCCTGTGATACCTTGAACCATTGAGAGTGAAGCTGCCCGCAGAGCTAAGAGCTTGGCAGCCATTTGAGAATATTGCATTTATTTTGTGTGTATTAAACCAGTCACAATCAAAACACAGGTCTTGTATAGACTCCATTACTCAAATTAATAGGATGTGACATCTAGTAGCTAAGATTCAATCCGGAAATGCTAGCCTGCACTCATCAGAAATAGCTTTGTGCCACATGAATCTGACTTTCAAAATGTACTGAGCAAATTGAAAAGGCACTGAAAAAAGACAGGTAGGAATCCAGTTAGTGGTAGGTATGCGAGTAATTACTCAAAAGTGATTTGCAGGTGATTGGTTCTCTTGCTATTGAGGAGCTATCGAATTGCTGGCACCAGAGAACTCTTTTGGTGTCCCGATACTAATGAGTGTCATTATAATATAATTACGATTAAAATGAAAATGAATTTCAATGTAGATATTTTCCACTTCATAGCAGCTGTCAGCTGCGTTGGAGAGTTTAGGGTCAGTGATTGTGGTGTTGGCTTCGCATTGTGATCTCGGGACGAACTGAAAATTGGATAGAAATCTAGGATATGTGTGTGTGTGTGTTCCTATCGATGACTGTTCAGCAGTGTGAAATAATCATTCACACTGGGTTGGTGCTGCTGTGAGTTTTGGTTGGCATGCAATAACTGATGAGAAAAGGTCCTCCTGCATTCAGATATCTGGCTCCAACAGCAGTGAGACATTTATAAGTGCAAAGAGGTTGACAATCTCTTCAAAACACTTACGCTCCATTTTACTGTGCACTGATGGTATTGAATTGGATGTGCATGTGAAGCAGAAGGAAGCCTTTGGGTTTGAAACCTGGAGTTTCCTTTTTCAACAACAGAAGCTCGCAGAGAAATATTATTAAAACCATCTTGGCAAATATTGTTTTCAAGTTGCAGATGAGGTTCCGGAAAGGCATTTGTGTAGCAACAGAGGTTAATCTTCTCTGCAGTAGGTTCTGGTGACTTTCCTGTTTGACTTCAGAGACCAACACGTGTCCTGATCAATTCTAGGTTAAAAATTAAGAATCGTTTGTCCACCTAGCAGGAACGATCCCTCTAGCTGATTTGCCTACACTCTGTACTCGAGAGGTAAATATTACATTTGTACCCTGCTCTCAGTTGAACATCACAAGAGTTTCCACAGTATTCTGTGCGTGCTGCATTGCTTCCTTATAGCGTGTCTGTTTACTGACTGCCTTTAAAACAAATATATAAGGTTCCATCTTGAGGTGATTCAAACAGGCCATCCCCCCTCTCTCTCAAGCTCTCTCTCGCTCTCTCTCTTTCCCCCCTCCCTGCCTGTTTTTTTAAAAAACTTCAATTAAAATTCTAGCTTAAGAGCTGGGATCTCGTGACGTCTCAGTAAGCGTGCAGAATAACGTTTTAGATGACTAGTTTGCGGGGGTTACTGTGAGCACCAGTCCACGAAACCTATGTTACCTTATGGCATCACACACAATAAAATAAGACCCATGGCTCAAGAAGCGGGCAGGTGTAGGTACCTTTCGTCATTCTACAACGTTTCCATGTTGTTCTGGATTCTGTTACCTTCCACCATTTCTATCAGTCGCTTTCTTCAAAGTGCAGCTGATGGCTGGAACGAACGTTATTTTTGCTGCTGTACACTCTCCTCACTTTTAAGTCTACAGTCAAACCTGTTTTCTGCAACCACTTGGGAATGGAGCAAAGCGGCCTTTATCTAAGGCTGGCCTCTTGAGTTAAGGGTCTGTTGGCTTGTTGACCGCGTGTAGATTCCCGCTAGACGCCAAGCACATTCACCAATGCGGCCTCACTTGGTGAGGCAGGAAGCTGGGGACAGCACGTGGGCTACTCAGCGCGGTGTGGGTCAGTGCGCTAGCGGGAGTCTACATGCGTACCGCAGAAATTGGGAACGCATTGTCCGTAAATATGCTTAAAATCACTTAGATCTGCCGCTGAAATGTGTGGTGTGTGTGTGTGTGGTTGATGTGTGGGGTGTGGTGTGTACTGATGCGGCTTTAAAAAAAAGAGTAGCCACTGATTATGTTAAACCGGTGGTTGCTGTATGGAGGTGGTTCGTTATGGGAAATTGTTGCACTGAAATTGGTTGCTTCAACAGGTTTGACGTGGAAATCTAAGTGGGATCTGTCACCGTCCTAACTCGTAAACGCTTTTGACCTGCTTCCCAGAATCCGAATGATAACCGGGTTTTTAACACTGGCGCTGCTAACGGCTACCTGTTTCTAAAAGTAAAGCCAATAAATAACACGGAAGCAGCTTGTGGAGGTTTAAATCTTTGGCACGAACAAACCTGTTCATTGTGCACTAACTGCTGTTCTGGTCTGTTCAAATTTGTTGCCGTGTGCTGACGAGTTCAAATAACTTGTCCTGCCAAAAGTTTTGCAAATGAATTGAATTCTTTTTGTGGCGTAGAAGTTTTGCTTTGTACTTACCTTTTTTGTGTGTGTCTTTTTTTTTCTCTCTCTCTCTCTGTGCCTCTCTCCAGGTTGAGAAACATTTTAGAGATTTGGAAAACCAGAAGTTAATGCAACAACGTTCACAAGCACAGCAAACACAGAAGGAAACTGCTTTGTCGTCTTGAGTGACCTGTGGATGGGTCCTTTGCCGAGCTTTGACAAGGGGGATTTTTTTTTTTTTTTCCTGGGATGGGGAGGGGGTAGTCAAGTTTTCCAGGGAGATCAACAGTGAGCTGACATTTCCACTTCCAAGCAGAGAATAGACTTTACAAAAAAAAATTCCACGAAGACAACACTTATCGTAACTCGACTAACTATAAATTACCTTTTTCCTTTTTTAAAAAAAGTTTAACAGTCATATTTTGTTTAAATTTTATTTTTTACATGTCACCTGTGCTTTTTTTCTCTCCCCCTCTTCATTCCATTTCCATTTTACTGTACTTTTTTTTAGTTAGACCCACAACTGGGGTTAGTGCACACAAACACACACAACTTCCCGACTGGTCAACTAAATTTGAAGAAGCGAATCTATAGTGATATTTAAAAGGTTTAAAAAAAAAACGCAAAGCAAGAAGGTAATTTAATTAAAGTTGTTGTCCCAATTCGGAGAATATTCCTTTTTCCACACACTTATTCCAAGAAGGAATAGATCAATTTTTTTTAAGAAGAAAAAAAAATAACATCACAGAAAAGTCTTCCAGTGAAGAATTGAGTGTCTGATAATGGAAGATTTGGCTCATTAGCTAAAAATCCTCTGTGTACACAGAATTGGTTCGTCTTGCTAAGACAGTGGTTACAAAGGATGGCTGTTTTAAAAACGATCTTAACTGTTCATGCAGTTTTGCATGTGTATGTACTGTACACTTAAATTGGAAGAGAGAAGGTTGCTACCTAGTCTTTGCATAACAAAAAAAATTAGACGGTAACGGTCATTTAAAACAAAAAAAGTCCTTTTTATAGGCTGGTGAAGAATCTATGATAATGTATATTTTTATTCACAGTCCCTTGTCAGCACAACACTATAATATAAAATTGGAGGAATTTAAAAAAAAAACATTTTAAAACTGAATCTGTTATTGTCTTATTTTGATTGAAAAAAAATTAAAGAGAGTAAGAAGAAACTGTAACCGTGTTCTTTTATTCACTTACCCTTCCACAAGGTTGCTTCTTTTTTTTAAATCTTATCTATCGACCAACCCCAATTGTGAACGAGGAAGGAATAAAGGGAAATGCGGCTTTGTTCACAAAGCTTCATTTCAATGTGGTTTAAGAAAAAAATTAAACTTGGTAAAGAATAATTTTGCAAAAAAAATTATACTTCTTTGTGTATATATATTATATATATGAAATATTCCTTCCCCTGTCCCCCTTTTCTCTTTCCTTCTAACCTTCCTCTCCCTCATCCCCACCTCCCCAAAAAGTAAGCTCTCTTTAGTGGCATATGGAAATGGTGTGTGTGTGTGTGTGTCTCTCTCTCTAATGTTGAATTGTCTGGAAATGTAAAGAAATGTTTGGTGCTAAATACTGTGCTGAGGCCACGGGCTTCTTTCCTCAGTATCTGAGTATTTTTTTTTGATTAACATTTTAAATGTGTGTTTAATGATGGATCAGTGAACTTTTACAGTAATTAGGCAGCTTTGGGAATACTATCATTTCCATTCTGCTCTACATCAAGTATTCCTCTTGTGCTCTGTGCTGAATATGAGTTATCCTGGAGTGCTGGTTCCGAGTGGAGTGTATATCATGATGTTTTCTCTGCTACCTTGATTCTATTAAAGCACCTTTACAATTTTTGGGGGACAAAAGTAAATTTTGTTCTTTCCAATCCCACCCAAAATAAAACACCCCTTCTCGTCACAAGGCCTGAGGAGTATTGGAATTAAAGTAATCGCGCTGGATTCCACTACATCACCAGCTGTTCTTTTTTTTAAAAAAAAGTAGGTTCACATTAACAATGAACCAATTGAAATTGTTGTGTATTTTTATATACATTTGTTTTCTCTGTAACTGTGTTTGCTCCTGTTGATTGCCTCGATACGTTGTAGGGAGATTAAAAAAAACGCAGCCCTCCACTTTGCAGTTTTTAATGCGAGACCCTTGACATATTTAGTTGGCTGTTCAATTTAGAGGCCCAATGCATGTATTCTTGTGGTTGGAATGTGTTTTCAAGCCAATACCTATTTCCAAACGGCCGGTTCCATTATGGTTTCAACCGCAGCAGGTGACGCCAACCTTTTTGCACCTTGCTCGATGACGACATTGCTTTACGATAACTTACCAACCATGCTGCCTGGTTTAAGCCCAGGCTGGAAAAGGTTCTGTGGAGCAATCCACATAACCTTACCCCCCTCCCCCCCCTTTTTGTTTTTGGAAGGAAGCAAAGTGAAACAGTGTAAGGTGAGACTGTAATGATCTTCAACTGAAATCTTTGCAAGATGCATGTAACCTGTTGCGTTGTCTTTTTTTTTTTTTGCAGGGGGGGATAAAATATTGGTGGTAAGAGATCTGTTAGGTCAATAATTCTACTAGTCCAATGTAGTTGCCGTTTTTGTTGATGAACGTGACAGCCAATTGAGCCAGCAAGGCCCCCCCCCCCCCCCCAAACAGCGGTGGAGGTGAACGGTCAATTATTCTGGAGGACCGTTGGCCAGGACAGTGATAACGCTCCCCACTGTTGGCGGATAAACGACAGGGCTCTGGTTTAACATCTCAAACGTCCCACCTAGCAATGTCGCCCTTCTCCCCGCGCCCCCCCCCCCCCCCCCCCCACACCACCCCAACATTGCACTGCCACGTTCTGCCTGGACTGTGAGCGCGAGTGAGGAAACTCGCTGTGTAAAAACGTCGGGAGTTCATCTCCGGCACCGGTTCTCCTGTGAAGTCCGTCGGTTTCTTTGCGTCGCGCATCTTGAGCTGTGATATTTTTGATTAGGTTGGGTTACTGTGTCTTTTGCGGAGGTGGGGGTGGTGGGTGGGGGGGGGGGGGGGGGGGTTGTGCAGTGAATAGCCACTAGATGGCATTGAGGCAACACCGCACGGAATGGACCTCGAGCCCATTCTGGGATGCGATTTAAAAATAGTAATTTGTGAACGCCTTCTGGCGGAGCGAGCTGAGGGTCCACCGCTCCTATTAATGAAACCGAGCGTCCGTTTTCCCGAAGTGCGCGCCGCAAATTAAGAAAATAAACTCGGGTGGTCCAAGCGAAGGTGTCCGACGCTATGCGTGCCACCGATTTCTGTGGGCAGAGGTTTATAGTCGAGTTTTTGCAAGCAGTATGTTTCTTCCACACACCCCTTCCAGTATTCCCTACTAGTGGTATATATATTGTGTGGAGTCCTGTAGCACAGTGGTTAGAGCAATCGAGGATCTGGGTTTGATTCCCGGAAAGAAAGGGCGAAACGTTAGGCAAGTTTCCTTACTCCACACGCCTTTGTGTCCTTAGCAGTAAGTAGGAACCCTGTTGTTTGTCGATTGGTGGATCACTTTTCCGGGGGTAATAATCCTTTCAATTAAAAAAAAATGATTTGGTCACTCAATGCATGACTGCCTGTGGGAGACTGTCGTGTGCAATTGGCTGCCGGGTTTCGCCCACAAAATATACAGCCAATTCACTTCATGGTATATCCTGTGAAGCGCTTTGAGACGTCTTCAAGACGTGGTAAGTCGCTGTAATCAAATGCAAGATTATTTATTATTATCGTCTGCTCACAGAGAGAAAATGTCGCTGTTAATGGGGGCTGATACAGAGCACATTGTGATGAACTCTTCCATCTTTTATGGCTTCAATTATTGTGTGGCCTAAACACCGAGAAAGCACACAGTGAAAATAATACCAGTCTCAAGAAGGAGAAATCAATAGTCTCTGAGGAGGGGAAACTGCACCTGAAAATAACTGGATAAAATATTGGTGCAGTTATTTTTAGGTGCAGTTTCCCCCCCCCCCACACACACCCCTACAGACAAGCAGCTTTATGCTGTAATGTGCAAATAAAACTTGCCTGAAAGGCATTGCTTTATCTCAATCCCTCTACCTTGCCCCCTCTTATCCCTTTTTCAAGTCCCACCTGAAAACCTTCCTCTTTGACTATGCTCGGAGTCGGGCTCCGCCACTGTTAAGCGCTCTGAGACACTACCCCGCAAGGAGGGAGCTATATAAGTGCAAGTTGTCGTTGCTTTTGTCAACCGACATGGATTTAAACCGCAGCTAATTATTTCAGCTTTTTAACTGGGTTTAATATTTTCTGGTCAAAGCAGAACTAGGCTTCACAGTGTCCTTTGATGGTAAGCGCAACACCTTGCATTTATAAAGCACCCCTCGTGTAAGATGATGTCTCGGAGAAACTGGATCGGACACCAGGCAGGAGAGGAGGGAGGTGACCGTAGGTGCAGTCAAGAAGGTTTTCTTTTGAGGATAGGGCAGGCGGTGGGATTGAATGAGCAGCTTGCTCTGAGAGCCTGCGTGGACTTGATGAACCCAATGATCTCCCCGTGTGCTGTAAATATCTACGGAACAAAATGGTGTAGAGTTTTACGTTAAAAGTGATCTCAGGTTTGTTTTGACTGGGCTTTTAATCTTGCTCTCCAAATATTGGCCATTCTTCACCTGCGAACCCTATAGATAGGGAGGGGGAAAAAAGGGATAACCCAGAACTGAGTCTCATTCATGTATTCATTCTCCCGCATCTTCGTACTGCTTCAGGCAAATGCAGAGAGAGAAAGAGAGAGAGCGACAACATTCATCAGCTTAGTCGGCCCTGCACTGAATTCCAAGTGAAAACAAAATGTACTAATCCACACTGACATGTTTCCCGTTATCATGTTATCTAATTTTAGCATCAATGTCCAGTACGTTGTCTTCCATGTCTGAATATTAAATGTCATCTGATCCATCTGCCCTCTTTGGCGATCTCTTTACCACTTCTATCATCCAAACCCCCTGCCTTCTCAGCCACCTTGACAGCAGTCTGGAACCTTAGACGGACATTTATTTGTTCTACCTTCTAACCCTTCAAGATCAAGATCGTTTGCAAAGCGATGTAACGTTTTGTTTTGTCCGTCGCTGTGTTTTTTAAAGATATATAATGATAATAATAATCCTTACATTTTCGGACAGTGCCTTTCAAGTCGGGAGGGTGTCTTAAAGTGCATCACAGGGAATACTGTAAAGTGAATTGACTGTGTATATTTTGTGGACGAAACACGGCAGCCAATTGCGCACAGCAGCGTCCCACAAACAGTTGTGAATTGAGTGACATTATTGTATATTTT